GTACGTTAAAATACTGTAATTACCTTTGAGTTTAAAGTGGAAATTTGCATTATAAAAGCCAGACCTACTGTGTCAGGCTGTTCACGCAGCATCACATTGCTGTCTCAGAAGCAGGCCATGGGGGCCTCTGTGAACACAGGGATCCCCTGCATGAGGGGCGGTGGCATAGGAATCCCCAGCTTTGGCCCCCACAGACTGTTTCACATTGTTCTCTATTAAAGCAAGGGTTTGGGGGAGGAACAGTACAAAAAGGACTCTTTAAATGCTATATTTTGAAAATGCTATTTTCTACAGAGTTTAGTAATTGTAATAAAGTAAGCATAGGCAACGTGATCATTGGGCCTACAAAAACCAGATATTACCACAAAAAAATAGACCTGGAGTGTGTCTCTGCTGTTCGCTAAAAGCCTGGGTTTGTTTTGAGAGAGGGATGGGGTGGAGTTCCTTTATTGACTCCATCCTAAGAGAGTGTATAGGCACCTCAGTCCATATGATCAGGTGTTGCCTGGAACCCTCAGCACTCGGCGTTTCCTTATACAAGACTTGCAGGCACTGTGGGACTTCATGGGTCTGGGAAAAGCTTTGTTACATAACTTAAAGTATTTGAAAATGTCATGACAACTGCATGTTTTTTTTTTTCTCCTACCTGAAAATCACATTGACAACTTTTCTAGTATCTGTGAAAAACAAAAAAGGCAAATTTACACATTTTTCTTATTAGTTACCTACAGAGTGTTTATGTTGTTTGTCAGCGAGTATCAATTCAGTGTTTCGTTTGTCGATAATAGGGCTGGAAACAACGCAATGACATAAAAAACCTACAAATATTGCTAGATTTCCCCACATAAGAATCACCATGCTGCCCTTGATTTGGTCTCACTGTCTTCCATTCCAGTCATAATTGACTTGTTTTTGCATCCACAAGATAGGCTAGAAATTATTTTTTAAATGCCTTGACTTACTTGGTTTTGCTGTCCTTGGAGAGAAAACATTTTACAACTGATGGAGAAGTCAGATATTAGAATCTTATCTCTAGATGTTCAACAAGGACTTGGGCTATCTCCACAGCATATTTTCCATGAATTAGTAAAATTAATTATACAGAGAATAAATTTCTTCTGCCTATTAATAACTAGGTTTTAGAACTTTTATTCATGGCCAATGTCTAGCCCATATATACTTGTAATATCATTTACAGCTGTTTTTCTTTTATCCCCAAGGACCTTTCCTGAAGACAGTTATGAGTTGAGAAAATTAAGTACTGATTATCTGAACGCGTTGTCTGTTTCTATCAGATCTGTTACCTCTTTCTGGATATCAGTATATTAGAACCTGTTCCCCCATTACTTCTTTTTTTTGAGACGGAATCTTGTTCTGTTGCCCAGGCTGGAGTGCAGTGGCATGGTCTCAGCTCACTGCAGCCTCTGCCTCCTAGGTTGAAATGATTCTCCTGCTTCAGCCTCCCAAGTAGCTAGGATTACAGGCATGTGCCACCACACCTGGCCAATTTTTGTATTTCTAGTAGAGAGGGAGTTTCACCATGTTGGCCAGGCTGGCCTCAAACCCCTGACCTCAGGTGATCTGCCTGCCTCAGCCTCCCAAAGTGCTGGGATTATAGGTGTGAGCCACTGTGCCTGGCCAACCCATTATTTCTTTCTAAATCTATTCATCCTAGATTGTTTTCTATATGTTATTTGAGGGGAAAGATTCCTCTTACCTCTAAAATTCTTATCTGAGAGGCAGAATCAGTCTTATGATCAGCAGTTTTCAAAAAGTCTGGCAACTCTTGGAGGCATGTAGAGGAGTGATCTGGAAAGTCACTGGAAATTTAGCCCATCCTCTTAGAGGACATTGAGAAGTGCACATTATTACACCCACAGAAAATAAGAGGAAATAAGTAGCCACTTGGAAGCCTCTTGCTTGGCTAAAAGGGAAAAGTATTGACAGGATCTGTACACTCAGAGTTTACTGTAGTCCCATTTCACAAGTTTAAGAATCAGCACACTTTTTTATTGTTTGTATCTAATAATATACTACCCAGCAATTTGGGGCAAAAATGGCATTGAGTTATTGATGGGTTCTTTTACATGTCAGAGGGCTAAAGAAAATAAGACGAGAAGAGGAAAAAAATATATGTGACTGAAGGAACTTCATGTTATGTTCCAAGAGCCCTTTTGTTTTATTTATTGAATTTTACCTATTGAAACTCTGAATTTCCTGCTGCTTATTTATTATTCCTAAATTACAGTTTGGGAATGAATTAGCTGAAATTTACATGCTCCGGGCATTTTCAGATCATGCAGTAATGCTAAGTGGTATTAGGGTATTCATAAGTGGTGGGATATAAACCAAAACTTGGGGGCACACTTACCAACAGCAGAGGTTTCCTAACACATGACATCTGATAAGCCCTCTCCTAAGAGTCACCTGGGGCATATTAAAAACCCAAATCCATAGGTCCTATGCCCACAGATTCTATCTAATTCAGACGATGTCGGGGGTAGAGCTTAGGAAGCTATAATTTTTTGATAATTCCCCCAGATAATTGTGACGTGCAGCCAAGTTTGAGAACCCCTCTCCTGGGCACTCTAAAGACATGGTTGGATGGTTTCTAAATAAAAGAGAATTGCAAGGTCATAGTTCATGGGGAACAATGGGGGAACAAGAATATTCTTGTTATATTATAGGGGAAAACACCATAAATTTAAAATAACATAACAAATAAAATTGACTTCTTACTTTATAAGTTGAAGTGAATTCTCTTTTGATTTGCTATTCAAGGGAGACCTGCTATAAAAATGAGTTTAAAATCTAAGGGAACCAGAGGGCAAATATATTTATTCAATTTGGACCGTGGCCAGAACACCAGTAGATGTTAACATCAGAAGTCCTCTGAAAAATGACAGTCGTTACACACAGTTATATTATTGAGAATGGAGTCTAAGTGTCTTCTGTCAACAAGTGCCCTGTAACTGGTGTGTGAAGTATTTACTGTAGACTCTCCCTTACTGTCAGTACCTAGCAACATTTCCTTCACTAAGATTGTTTTACCATTTCCATCATAAAGCCCATGTTTTAAGGGTTGTAACTGGATGGTGGTTTTAATTTTTGTTTGAAACTTGGCAATTTGACTTAGAAAAACATGTACAAATTATTTGAAAGAGGTTTATTTTTATGGTGAAAAGTAGCTCTTGTCAAAGCTTTTTCTATGCTTTGCTTTCAAACGAAAGTTTACAGGCCATTAGTCCATAATGTGAATTAACCCCATTTGATATTTTTTCCTTCCTTTAAAATGGCAAAGGACTGTTATTCATGTTGGTGAAGTGTTTACTACATATTTGCTGTAACTGCATTACATTTTTAAAATCTTATTTCTGTGGGACTTTGGCATTATTATTGTAACTGCTCCAGAATGTACACAGATGGCATAATGGATTCAGAGGCGGTTTTACAGGAACATTGGGGCAATCTGTGAAGTAAAAATCCATTTCCAGGATGGCAGCATGAAATGGTCCCATTTGGCTGCCTCATCCCGTGGTGCCTTGGCCTGAGTAGGGGTAAGTGAATAGTTTAGGGGAAACTTGAATCAGTTCAAATCTAAGTCTCCTTAAAAATGCAGGAAGAAAAAAGTCTCTTAGTTTTCTGAACTGAACCTTTGTTGTTGTTTATTCAGAAACAGTAAAAACAATTTATATATAGTTCCTGTTATGTGTTGAGTGACATTCCTCATGTCAGAGGAACAAAGGTGGATGGCCAACACTCCCTGCCCTGGAGGAGCTTAGAGTCTGTTGAGGAAGGACAGATTCGGCAACAACTAAGTGTGATATGGCCTGAGTGTCACCACCAATATGGTGAAATTATTTTGGAAGCAAAGAGAGGGAGCCACTAACTGCTTTTTCACTTCAGTGTATGATCTTTCTTTAGTTCTAGAAAGAAACATTTTTTTTTCTGTTTCTGTTCTCACTTAGTAGATGCTTCTCTCCTTGTATTGTGTCAGCTATTAATAGTAAGACGGTGTATTCATTTGCTAGGACTGCTATAACAAAGTACCATGGATGAGGTGGCTTAACCAACTGTATTTCCTCACATTTCTGGAGGCTAGAAGTCTGAGAGCAAGGTGTCAGCAAAGTTGGTTTCTCCCCAACTTCTTTTTTTTTTTTTTTTTTTTTTTGAGATGAAGTCTCGCTCTGTCACCCAGGCTGGAGTGCAGTGGCGCAATCTTGGCTCACTGCAACCTCTGCCTCCTGGGTTCAAGCAATTCTCCTGCCTCAGCCTCCTGAGTAGCTGGGATTACAGGCTAATTTTTGTATTTTTAGTAGAGACGGAGTTTCACCATGTTGGTCAGGCTGATCTCGAACTCCTGATCTCGTGATCAGCTTGCCTTGGCCTCCCAACGTGCTGGGATTACAGGTGTGAGCCACCACACCGGGCCAGGTCTCTCTTCAACTTCTAAGGGGCTATCTTCTCCCAGTGTCTTCCCTCTGTACCTAATCTCCTCTTCTTATACTGACACTGGTCATATTGGATTGGGTCCCACCCTAATGACCTCATTTTACCTTAATTCTTTAAAGGCCCGATACAGTCCATTTTAATACAGTCCACTCCAGACACAGTCTCATTCTAAGGTACAAAGGGTTAAGACTTCAACCCACCTTCAGTATGAATTTTGGGGGGACGCAATTCAGTCCATAACTGATGATCTACTTGAATTTCTTAATAAATTCCTTTGAACACATTGGATTTGTCTCTGCCAGAATTGGAACACTAGGATGTAGAATTCTGTTGAGGACAGAAATTGGAGTTGCAGCATGGAGGCTAGCTAAAAGATGACGATTTACCCATAGGAGAACTATCTGTTGGAAAGCCTGACTTCCCAACTGGGGTCTCTTTAGGCTTAGATGGACTATTCTTCAAGTCACCCTGTTTCTCGCAAAGTTCTATGGGCAGCCTTGAGCGTCCCAGCATCCTGAGCTGCACCTGCAAAGATTGCAGTTTTCTTG